GAAGAGAAGGAAAGGAAGAAGAGGAAGAAAAGGAGGGAGGGAGGAGACAAGAGGAGAGAGGAAAGAAGGGAGGAAGGGAAAGGAAGGAGAAAAAAGGGAGAGTGAGAAGGGAGGGAAGAACATGGAAGGGAGGGAGAAAGTGAAAAGGGAGGGAGGAGACAAGGAAAGGAAGAAGAGAAGGAAAAGGAAGAAAGGAAGGAGGGAGGAGACAAGAGAAGGGAGAAGAGAAAAGAAAGAGAGGAAGGAAGGGAGAGAATAAAGGGGAGAGGAAGAGGAAGCACCCCAGGGGCATCTATGACTTTCCCATTTAAATAGCGAGACCCTTTCAATCCCCCTCGTGAATGGCGCGTCTCGAACCTTTCGAAATACTGGAATAGAATTGATTTCTTTGTTGGCCAAGTGTGATTGGAGACGCCAGGAATGTTGCCTTTGGTGCAAATGCTCTCGGTGTACATAAAGAAAAAAAAATACTGGAAAAACGGAGGCCCAACGTCCCCCCCTTTTAATTCAACCCCGATAGACGGGGCCGGATTTTAACGGAGGGCCACCTGTCCTTTTCCCTGCAGGGGTGATCGATGACCGAGGCAAATTCATCTACATCACACCCCAAGAGTTGACGGCCGTGGCGGAGTTCATTCGGCGTCGAGGACGGGTCTCCATTACAGAGCTGGCTCAAGAAAGCAACTCCCTCATCAACCTGCAGATGGAGGCCGGTTTCCTTAGCCAAAGCACGGGCTGAAAAGCCCCCCTACTGTTCTTGGGAGGGGACAAATAAAGTCTTTTTTTTGGTTTGTTTTTTGGACCAGGGGGGCCTTAGGGTCACTCAGTCACGTTCATGCATTCGGAATATATTTATATAAAGAAGTCACTTAAGAATACAACCGGGAGAATCCTTTACCCAGGCTTTTCCTGGTGAATTATTCGCTGTTTGTGGAAGGTTGCAAGCGGTACTGAAAGTTTAGAACTGGAAAGTTGTAGGCCTTCGCCTCTGTTTCTAATAACAACCTTTCTCTACCACAACTCCCATGCTCCTGGTCCACCCAGGAAGGTAGACAAGCTGTAACCCAACAGTTCGGATTAAAAGAAATACATTTCCCGTTTAAATTGCCCTATGTCACACGGTCCCAGAGATTCAAAATCGAACCATTGCAGTAGACTGCACCTTTCTTATTATCATTTTTCCAATTTATACGATATGGAAAAGAAGAGGATAATTGGTGTGGGATTATGACTGTAGTTGATGCGTGTGTCTCAGTTATGGATACTGACGCAAAAATGAGGGCAAAGATACTGGCTATTTCAAGATTTGACTTCCTCCTGAACTGTGAATAAATATTGAATATGTGGAGAAAAATACACAATCTTTGGTGGTGGTTGTTTTTTTAACTGGATTTATGATGTTCAATATTTACAGCAAAGGCACAAACTAGTTGATCAAATTATACTTAAAACCTATTGTCATTTTTTAAAAAACAGAGATAAATTGTTAGGAATTACCGAGATAAATTGTTAGGAATTACCTCAACATCAATATAATCCCATTTAGTAAAGGCAATTCTGGATTATAAATACTTCACCAGATCTCTGATGAAGTGCTTTAAACTTGTCTAGAGAAAGATGGTTTTTGAGACACGGCCTCAAAAGTAATCCTCCCCCTGTTCCATATTGTCATTTTAAATAGGGAAAAGAATTGTCTATTTGGGACAAATGAACAGGTTATGCAGACATGCATGTTGCATGGAGAACCAATATTTTTTCTGTGTGTGGCACAAAGGCCACATGGCCAGATAATCCGTAGGAGTCCCTTTATTAGCTCCAATTTTGTGTCCTGGTTACCTTCTGGGCTGGAGAAAAACTCTCCCAGGAACAGCCTTGGACTGCAGAGACTCAAGTCCAAAACAGGGTAAACACAAACTGTAACTATAAGTCCAATCAAAATGAGGTAATTAGTCTGGTGGGGCAGGAGAAGGAATTCCAGACGTGAAGGAACGGCACTAATTCAACACAGTTGGGAAGGCGCCAGGAACACAGATAAGCAAAGTCAACATAAGATAAACTCATGTTTGTTCCAGGCAGCTGCTGCTCTCAGCATGTATTTCTTTTAAACTCTCTTCCCAGGTATGGATAATGAAGGGAATCAGGGCCCTTTCCTCCCCTGTAAGTCACGCAACCCATGTTGTTCCCTTCTCGTTCCTCTCTGCGTGCCCTAGGATGAAGAGGGGGCGGGCCTGAGTCTTCCTCTGAACTCCCTTGTTCTACCTCTCCCTTGCTCTGCCCAGCCAGACTTTGCCCTTCCCCAGTTTCCTCCACAGTCAACGGAGCCACTCCCTGTCAGCTGTCTATCTGCCTCCTCGGATTCAGACTCCCAACAGTAACCCAGAACAGGGCACCACAAGGAAATCTCGGGGCAGGAGGGGGCGAAGGGCAGACTAGGAATTCTGGAAACAGATGGAGCCAAACCGCCTTCTCCGTTGTTGAATATGGTTGCCAGGCGACCAACAATTGGCCATCAGTGATGCTTGTCATCAGAGTTGTCTGCCCACAACTGTCGGTTCCATAGAAGTTGTCCCTTCCTATACACACACACACGCACACACACACACACAAACACTGCACTGGAGAAAACAGGCTGGAAGCCAACAACTGCCGGACACAAGTGAGAGCCAGAACAGGAGCCTAAAAAAAGCCAGGTACCACAGCCACCATTGGCAGGGCAGGGGGCAAAACCTGGCCTTGGGCCTCTGTCTTCTGAGGAAGACCCCCCCTCCCCAAAGTCCGGGCTGAGCTCATGCAACTGGCACGAGCTGGTGCCCGTCAGATGGCTGGGACTACATCTCCCACAATCCCTTGTTGAGACGGGAGACCCAGGTGGGCACTGGGTTGTCGTAACTTTGACTGCAGGGAAGTGGCGGGGTGGGTGGGAAGATCAGATGGTAGCCGGGGGTCACGTGATTGGATGCCCATAAAAAGAGGGTCATAGCTGCCATCTTGTCTTTGTTGACTCCCCCCATGAAGTTTGGTTTAGTATCGGGGTAGTTGGGTTGGGAAGGAAGGGAAGGAGGAAGGAAGGAAAGGGGAGCGAGGGAGGAGAAAAGGGGAGGAAGGAACGAAAGGAAGGAAGGAAGGAAGGAGGAAAGGGGAGCGAAGGAAGAGAAAAGGGGAGGAAGGAACAAAAGGAAAGAAGGAAGGAAGGAAGGGAGAAAAAAGGGAAGAGGGGAAGGAAAGAAAGGAAAAGGAAAGAAAGGAAGGGAAAGTTGGGAGGGAGGGGAGGGAAGGAAGGAAAGAAAAGGAAGGGAAGGAAGGAAGGAAGGAAGGAATGGAAGAGAAGGGGAGGGGAGGGGAGGAAGGAAGGAAAAAGGGAAGAAAGGAAGGGAAAGGAGGGAGGGAGGAAAGAAAAGGGAAGGAGGGAAGGGGAGGGAGGGAGGAAAATGAGGTGAGGGGGAAGATAAGAGGGAAGGAGGAAGGGAGGGAGGAAAATGAGAGGAGGAAGAAGAGGGAAGGAAGGTTGAATTTAAGAGGGAGGAAGGGAAGGAGGAAGAAAGGAGGGATGGAAGAGGAGGGAAGGGGAGAAAGGAAGGAAGGAAAAGGGAGGGACGAAGGAAAGAGAAGAGGGAAGGAAGGAAGAAGAGGAAGGAACAGAAGAGAAAGGAAGGAGGGAGGGAGGGCCAGGGCGGATTGGGACCCTGAGGCCGGGCTGCTTCTCCTTTGCGGCAGATGCTGAGCCTGCCCCCCAGCCAGCCACCCATGGGCCGCTCTTCCATCCGCCTGTCGGAGCCCCAGGTGATCGCCGAGGACCTTTCGCTGCCCGAGGCCTACAACCTCCTGGCTGCCCTGATGCAGATCCTCGGGATGGTCCTCCTCTGCGTGGCCATCTATATGCAGAATTGGGTTTGGCTAGAGCCCGACGAAGCCCAGCTCGGACCCCAGCCGTTGGTCTTCTACACCTTCGGGCTACCTTACAAGATGAACACCTCGAGGAACGCCTCAGGTGAGAGCACGTCCTGGACACACCTATTGGCACCCAGGATGGCTGGGGCGGGGGGGAGGGAGGAACATGTTTGGAGTGGCGCAGTGGTGGCCTAGAGGTGGAGCTCTCGCCTCACAATCAGGAGGCTGTGAGTTCGATCCTGGGCACTGCTCTTGCCTTCTTGCAGCTCTGTGCATACGCACACTGGGAACAGGCTCCCCTTGTTTCTCTTCCTCACTGCTGCAAGACTCCGGAGGCTCCAGAGGCAGCACCCCACTCCCAGATGGTCCTGGCCCCATCCCTGTATCGGACGCAGAACCCTCATCCGAGTCCTCTCCAGACTCCCAGACTGGTCCCCGTTCTTCCCCACTGTCCGATTCCGCTGCTGTCTGTACAGGCTGCTGGCGAACAACAACACCGGCTTCCCCACAGACTTCGCTTGTCAGAAGGTCGCAAAAGCGGATCACATGACACTCAGGAGGCTGCAACCGTCATAAATATGAGTCACTTGCCAAGCGTCCAAATTTGGATCAGGTGACCGTAGGGAATTCTGCAACGATCGTGTGAAAAATAGTCATGTCACACAATTCCTTGGATTGCTGTGAATTTCCCAGAGTTGTCATGCCCCTGTTGGAGATTGACTCCGAGGGAGAGGAAGAACAGCCGACAGGGAGTGGGAGTGTGGCTCCAGAGGTTGTGGAGGAAACTGGGGAAGGGCAGAGGCCAACTGGGCAGTCAGAGGAAGACCCAGGCCCGCCCCCTCTCCATCCGAGGGCACGCAGAGCAGAGAGGATAAGGGAGAGACGTGAATGGCATGGTCTATGGGGGAGGAAAGGGTCCTGATCCCCTTCATGGGCTGCAGCTGTGAGAACTGGTTAAAAGGATGGACATGCATATGGGCCAGTGCTGGAAACAAAGCATGGAAATATCTCTAGTCTGTCGTTCCTCTCTTGAGTTTGGCGTTTCCCAGTGTGTGTTCCGATATCTGTGGACGTCTTCAAGCCCTTATCTTGCCTGGTTCCCTGAATTGCTTCAGTGTGGTTTGTGTTGTTTTTACTCTTTATAATTTAGAGGCATTTTTAGTTTAAATGGTGTTTCCTCCTTTTTGTAATTGCTTGGGGGGGAGTTTTTTTTGTCTCCAGTCAAGGATATTTGGAGCTTTAAAGCCAAGCTGAAGGAATAAAAGGAGCTTCACCTGTGTTTTTGACGGTGTTTATTTTGTATCCCACCCTGGGATAAGAGTCACTGAGTCGGAGAGTATACGACTTGAGAGTAAGGCTGGGAGGTGATAGCTCTTCCCCTAAGGGATAAAAGTCAGGCCAAGATGATGAACCTTTGCAGGAAGCAAAGTCGTTCAGGTTAATTCTTGAAGCTCTTTGTATTTCGGTTGGGTTTTTTTCTAGTTCATTGGACACTTCTGTTATTGGCAGCTCTTCACAGGGAAGAAAGGTGGGTGCTGATCTCGAGGGACTGTTTTCAGATTCATTACGGGCTGGGAATGAAAACAATTCCCAGCGTTGCAATAAAATAGGTTTTGCTTTTAAAGCAAGCTTGTGAATAATTATGGTTTACGATGCCTGGGTCAGAACAGCCAGATTCACTTAACAACCGTGTTCCTAACTTAACAATTGCAGTGATTCGCTTAACAACCATGGCAAGAAAAGTCATAAAATGGGGCAAACTCGCTCAATGCATTTCTCCCTTAGTGACATAAATTCGGGGGCTCCATTGTGGTCTTAACTCAGGGACTCCCTGTAAAGCCAATAAGACTCTGCGCCTGCCTTTCACCGATGTGCATTTGATGACCTACGTCTTA